GTGGCATAGTTGGGCAAGAGACAGCTTGTAGAAAAACGAATCAAGGAAGGAGCGAACTGTATGTTGTACATGTGTGTGGTATGTCGTGCTTGGGGCGTCTAATAAGTACTGGATGGTTCCCCCCGAATCCGTTCCGTCTCTTGTTTTCTTCTCTCCGTCTTCATGTCTTCAATCACATAGTCTCTCTTCCACCCTTTTGCAAAAACATCCAACGTTCGCACGTACCATACTCTACCCTCCCACCCATCGCATATAATACACAAATACACAATGTCGAAGGCCAATGTCGTCCAGGTGAAGAACGTCGCGTCTGCGACCACCGACAAAGAGATCAAGGACTTCTTCAGCTTCTGGTAATCCCCCCCCCTTTCCCTCCAAGCTCTTGCTGCTTGTTTCTCATCATCCTACTAACACACCACAGCGGCAAGATCACCGATATCCAGGTGTCCCCTGACGGCGAGTCCAAGTCTGCCACTGTCACATTTGAGAAGGACACCGCCGCCAAGACGGCGCTGCTCCTCAACAACACGCAGCTCGGCACCAACCACATCACTGTGACGGGCGGCTCGCATGCCGACGATGAGGCCGGCCATGCTGAGCCACAGCAGCGCGACTCGGACGAGCTGACCCAGGAGGAGAAGCCCCGCGCCCGCATCTTTGCCGAGTACCTGGCCCACGGCTACGTCATTGGCGATGCTGCCCTCCAGCGCGCCATTGAGCTTGACCACAAGCACGGCGTCAGCTCGCGCTTTGCCACCACGCTCAGCAACCTGGACTCCAAGTACCACGCCACCGACCGCGCCAAGTCGGCCGACCAGTCGTACGGCATCAGCCACCGTGCCAACGGCCTGCTGACGGGCCTCAGCTCGTACTTTGAGAAGGCCTCCAACACGCCCACGGGCCGCCGCATCGTCGACTTTTACACGCAGGGCCAGCGCCAGGTGCAGGACATCCACGCCGAGGCGCGCCGTCTGGCGGACATCAAGAAGGAGGAGCACGGCGGCAGCGCCTACAAGGCGGCCGGTCTGAACAAGATCTTTGGCGAGGAGAAGAAGGCGCCGGCCGGCACCGATGCGACTGCTTCTGGTTCCACGGCCGCCCCTGTCGTCTCCGACGCCAGCGCGGCTCCGACTGGCGCTACGGGCGCACCGGTGCCCTCGAACGCTCCCAAGTTCGACCCTCCCCCGACTGCCCCCAAGTCGTAAGGCACGGATGGCTCGTCTAGGATGACAGTATGATGCAGTTTCCTTTCAATTTGTTTATCTCCATCGTTTGAGTCAATTCTTAGGTAGCTGAAAATGCAAGAGATAATAATATGAACGCATTGCAAAACTCCTTTTCCCCTAAACAGATCGATCCTTGGATATGTGATGCGATAGTACTCCATGCTATAATAAACCTGTATACATGCGCAATCTCGGCTGCCTTAATCAAACACAATCTTCTTGCCCTCAAACGCTGCTGTCTGCGCCTTGTCTTTGGCCTTGCGTGCCGCCTCCCAACTGGGGTGCAGAGTGCCCGATACCTGAGCATTGGCATTCGGGTTTTCCTTCTTGGCACCGGCAGGTGGTGTGGCATTGCTGCCTGCACCCTTGCCACCACCACCAACCGGACCAACACGGCCCAGCAAGCCCATCTTGCGCCGCAGCCAGCGTGGCTTGTCGCTGGCGTCCACGGCACCGCGCTTGGCGTCCCAGCCGCCGCCGCCGTCCTTTTGCTTGCCGTTTTTGTTGGCCTTTTTGTCTTTGCCGCCATCTTTGCCGCCAGCATCCGTGCCCTTCTTCTCCTGCTCCAGCACGTGTTTTGCGAGCTGTTTGTATTTCTTCTCCCAGATGGCCTGCCGCGCGCGCTGTCCGCGCCGGTTCTTGCGGGGGCCACCGAGCATACGGGCCGCCGCCTCTTCGTCGTCGGCCACGCCGTCCGCGTCGTCACCGCCATCGGAGACATAACCGCCCATGAGCGAGGGTAGGAAGTGGGAGGTGCCGTCGAATGTTGTGGCGGACGTTGCTTTTCGTTTCCGTGGCCGGAGGTCTTCGTCGCTTTCGCTCTCACTTTCGTCGTCCACCTCGCCATCATCAGAGAAGCCGCCAAACTCTTCTTCTTCGTCTCCTCCTTCTCCTTGTTCGTCGTCCTGCTCTTCTTCAAAGTCCGCGCCATCACTGTCTTCGCCGCTGAAATCGTCGCGGTCCTTGTCGTCGTCCTGCCAGAGACCCTTGGCCACGGCCGCCGCGTACTTTGCGCGAAGCTTGGCCACGACAGCGTCGTCGTCAAGGTCCCCGTCACTGTCATCGTCCGACCCACTGCCAAGACCGTCGTCTTCGCTGTCATTTTCATCGCTTTCATCCTCGTCATCGTCCTCGTCGCTACCGAGCCTAGACTCGAACTTGGCCAGCTCGCGCTCAATAGCCTTGTCGTCCGCCTCATTATACTCCATGTTGTCTTCCGTATCTTCGTCATTGTCGTCGTCAGCCTCTTCGTCCTCGCTGCTTTCGCTTCTCCAAGCTATTGTCTTGTCTTTTGGTGTATTGGCTTGTGTATGTCGCCGCGTGTCATCGTCCACGCTGTCTTTCTCTTCCTCCTCGTCCTCCTCCTCGTCCTCCTCTTTCCTCTGCTTCCGAACACGCGACACATTTTTCTCCGGTGGCGGCAGCCCCAGCAACTGGCACATCCCCGCCACCGCCTTGGCCACCGCATCCCGCACAAATGGCCTGTTGTACAGTGCACTCGTCACGTTGTGAATGTCGTCCGTCCGGTACGCCTTGGTGCGCTGCGACAGCACCTCGGACGCGAGCTGCAGGTGCGCGCCCAGCGGGCCGGGAGCCTCGGCCAGGCCGCGTGTGCGCAGCATGGCATTGGCCAGGTGTACGCGCGCCGTGACTTCGTAGTCGAGGGTTTTCAGGACTTCGACCTCGCGCTCAAGGCGCTGCAGCCTCTCGCTGCGTTGGTCCGTGTCGCCGTCGCCGTCACCGTCGACGTTGTCCGCTGCGGACTTTTTGGCTTTCTTGCCCTTGCTCTTCTTTCCCGTCTTGGACTGCGTCTTCTCCTCTGCGATGCGCCGGACCAGGCGCTGGCGCTCGAAGCCACGAGCCTTTTTCAGCATGCGCAGGACATCGGTGTAGCTAGCCTCAAAGGCGCTGACGGCCTTTTCGGGTTGGGGTTTTGCGGCGGCCGCGGCAACGGAGGGAGGTGATTTGTTGTGATTGTGGCTTTTGTTTGCGCCGTTGCTGCCCTTCGCCGGCGGTCTGCCGTCGGGTCTCTTTCGTTTCAACATCACTAGGGGGGGGAGTATCGAGGGATTGTGGAAGGAGGGAGGATGCGTGTAGTTGTCGTCGTCTGGCGTTCGGTTGCGCTTCTTGCAGACCAGAAAAAAAAGTCTTATCGATTGCAGGCGAGGCTGATAAGCGATAAGGCGCTTGAGCGGTACAGAATAAATAAGCTCTATTTAGGTGGCACACTACCTGAAGCCCGCTAAGGATAGTTACAGCGCTCGATTTGTGGAGTCCATTTTTTTCAATTCTTCGTAGCTCAGAAGTTTGGCATTGAAAGGTATGTTCTCACAACCAAGTCAAAGGCACACGAAATACGCCTTGATAGTCTCTATTAATTCACATTGTCCCTCTCTTTATTTATATTTCCTAAATGTGCTAATTGTATAATCAAGTTGATGGGATAACAAAAGGGCATCGGAAACTGCCAATCCAAAACTCGACATCAAAACAAGACATCGAAAACAAGACATAGACCCGCGATCTCTCGTCTCTCACGATGGCGGGGGTCCGTCCAAGATCGAGGCATCGCCCTGCGCCCAGTTGATCTTCAGGACCCACTTCTTAATCTTCCATACACCGTCGGCAGCGTCCCGGACCATGTCCGCCGTGTACTCGCCGGCCACCAGGTACTTCGGCCCGTCGGGTTCCTTGCCACGGCCCGCGGGACAATGCTGGGCCAGCGACACGGTCGTCAGCACGGCCGTGTCGGCGCCTTCATGGACGTGGACGCGCGGGGTGGTGAAGCTGTGCGTGGTGTCCATGGGCCCGATACGGTCAAAGATGGCCATGCGAATGACGGACAGGTTGGGCAGGAACTTTTTGTCGTCGTCGACGCCGATCTGAGCCACGACATCCTCGCCGGCCCAGGCTGAGTTGAAGAGCTCAACGTCGTTGTGATCAAGGGCGACGAGGGCGCGGGTCATGGCGTCAATGATGGCTTCGCGCGTAGTGAGTCCGGAGAGGAGGACTGGAACGGCCATGTTGGGCAGTGCAAATTGAAGCAAGAAGTAATGACGTAAAGAGCCGAGTATAGGCCAAAATAAAAGTAAAATAATATGAAAATAGAAAGTTGTATGTTTGCTATGCAAGTGCTGTTGTTTTAAGTTATGTTCTTGTCTTTCGAGCCTACTCTACAGTTTATCGGGACACGGCCTTTAAATAAGACTTTTATTTTGCAACTCTTGACTCTTTCTGACACGTCTCTCGGATATCGCGGAAGCATCTTACATCGGGATGTTTGGATACAGCATCTGACCGTTCGGCATGTTTGCTCACGATGCAATGTCGTGGATATGCAAACACGCAGGGTTACAGTGCTTACAGGGAAGTGTCTGTGAAGGATTGGAACGTTGTTGCTTCCACGGAATTTATGGAAAATTCCGACAAGGTTTAGAGCCAATTGCACAGCCCGGGAATATCCATAAATTCCGGCCTTTGTCATTCTGCTGGTCAACTTAGACGTTGTTTGGGGGCAAGACGACAACCCTGGTCCTTGACTGCCTTCCTTCATTTCTTTTCCTTTTATGTGTTTTTCTTTTCTCTCCTCTTTACATAATTAGAAGGAAAATAGCTGAAATTTTCCAGACTGCAAACATTCCGAGGAAAGCAAATTATCAAACAAACGCCGGTTCGGGATAGTATCTCGTTGAGACCCGCCAGCTGGGGCTCACTACTGGCGCACCACAGAAGCCCCAACTACAACCTCACCACACACGTACAATACACGCACACATGGAGCGACAGAGGGCCGCGCGCAGCTCCAAATGGGGCGAGGCATGCGCGCCGTGTGCTGCGGCCAAGACGCGCTGCATCCGCAATCGTGACGAGCCCAGCGCCAGCTGTGACCGCTGTCAAAGCCTCGCCAAAGATTGTTTTGGCCAGGTGCAGAAGCCGCGCAAAAAGCGGCAAGCGAAGCCTTCGTATGTTTGCATGAAACTTTGCCGGTGTCCACGCTCTCTGTACGCTTCATGATATGTTCTACTAACCATGCCCATCGCAGGAGAACGGCCCAGCTGGAAGAGCGGCTCAACAGCTTGATCCAGGCCATGTCCTCGGCGAGTTCTGAAAAGAGTGATGTTGTTGCTGCAGCGGAAGCTGCCCTCTCCGCTGAAACCGCTGTTTCTGTGTCTGCGACAACAGCTTCCAGCACCAGGGGCAGCACTCTACCCCAGGCTTCGCCGTCTTCGCCGTCTTCGCCGCCCGTATCTGGTGAACCACACGTCCATTTGGACGGCGGCGTCGGCCTGCCACAACCTCCTGGCGCACCACCGGTATCGCCGCACTGCACATGCCGTGTGCCGGTTTCAAAGGCCGATCTTGTCCCACACGAGTCGGACGAGGTGTTGCTGAGCATCTATGTCAACCAGTTGTCGTCCAAGTTTCCCTTCGTCATCGTCCCGCCTAGCACGACAGCCCAGGAAATGGCAGCCAAGCGACCCTTTTTGATGCAGGTCATCCGCATGGTGTCGTCGGTCCGCCATCTGCGATCGATGTGGGGCCAGAGCCGCGCCGTCATCAAGCACATTGGCGACGCCATGTTGATGCGCTCCGAACGTTCCATGGACCTGCTGCAGGGCATCATTGTGTTCCTGGGCTACTATCATTACTTTTGCATGAGCCATGCGCATTTCAACAACCTTGCCCATCTCGCCCTCAGTCTCGTCGGCGACATGGGCCTGAACGCACCACCGCAGTCCAATGGCACAAACGCCGATGACGATGGAATGTGCCAGCCGCGGATCATTCAACGGAACCCGAGCGAGGTTGTGTCACATACATCCGACGATGTGGCGGTGGAGAGGACCAACGAGGAGCGCCGTGCCCTCGTCGGTGTGTGGTACATCAACTCAAAGTAAGCCTCATGTCTCCTCCAGAATGCAACCGCTGCTGTCCTCAACTTGACTAATGCCAATAGTGCCTGTTCGGTGGTAAAGCAAATGGGGTCCACGCGGTACACAAAGTACATTGACCAGTGTGTCAAGGAGCTCGAGAAGAATGCCGAATACAAGTCGGATCAGCTTGTCGTCGAGCTCATCCGCATCCAGAACCTCACCGAGACCATCTCGCACTTCCACAACCGAGACCAGATGTTGGATGAACTGCCTGGTGTTCCTCGCATGTCGCCCATCGTATATATCGAAGCATTACAGGCCCAGCTCGACCGTCTCCGTGGCGGCCTACCCGCGCACCTCAAAATGCACCCCCTGCTTAACTGCCACTTCCACAGTGCCCGTCTCGCCCTCTTTGCCCCGCTTTTGTCTGAGGAGCACTACCTTGCCGACCCCAGCTTGACCCCCCTCGACCTGTTCACACGCTTCACCGACACCCTCAAGATGTGGTTTGCCGAGTGGCTCACCATTCCCGTATGCTCCTACTTCTACCTCCCGCAGCCCGCGTGCTCCATGGTTGTCCACACATCGCGCCACCTCGTCCTGTGGGCGCGTCTAGCCGGACCCAGCGCCGTCCGACTGTCGTCCACCTCCTTCGTGTCCTGCCCTCTGCTCGCCTCAACTGCCTCGCTCTCGTCCGGATCCACAGCCACCACTCCCTCCGGATCCGGGTCGTCCCCCGCATCCGAGCCGTACATGCCCCGGCGCCGATTTCCTGCGTTCATGGGCATCCCCTCCTGCCCGACTCTCGACATCCCCAAACGGCCCACCGATCTGTCAGACACCGTCACGGTCGCTGCCCAGGCCTCCATCGACATGATCCGTGCCGCCGTCTATGAACGGCAAGACCTGCGGCTCGACGTCTTAGGCATCGCAGCGGCCATGGCCGCGCGTTGTGAGTCGGCCCGGGTGGAGATCACCGCGGCACAGGGTGGCGAGTGGAAGAACGACACGTGGGACGCGGCGGGGGACCAGATGCGTATTAAGCGGAGCAAGATCGAGGAATGGGTCGAGTCGGCGACGGCGGCCGGTGTCGACGAGGATGTGCCGCTGACGTTTGGACCGATGCCGGGCGAACTGTCACAAGACGGCCACAATAGCACCAACTGGAAGTGGCCGAGCGACTTGGCGTATGGGCCGACAAATCTCGACTTTGGGACACTGCTCGACTCAAATAACGACTGGAACACGGATTGGAACGCCCAGGGCATGGTGCTGGACAACTAGGGTGGAGAGAGTTTCGTGGTGTCTGTATCTGTATATATTGGTCGATGACATTTTGTAAAAATAACTGATACGCACCTTCCTCTTGAACATTCAAGCGTCTCTTATGGGAAGGAACAGACCATGAATCTGGCGCTCTTGCCAAATCGACGAGTATGACCATTGATTCTTAGACCGAATCACGTGGCTTCTCAATTCATAATTTAGGCCTTCATGACTGGGGAATACAGAAATGTATATCCTTTTGATGATTTGGACACAGAAAACATGTTCCCAGAAATATTGACATCGTTTGTGATGAAGGCAGATGGGGCTAACCCATTTCGGGACCAGACGAGTGCATTTGCGGCGAATTGGTGTAAAGTGCCTGCAGCCACTTTACGCGTTGCGGGGCCAGGCACAAGGCGCTGAAAACGGAAAGCTCTAGCTAGCCCAGTTGTCGCGCGTTTTCAACGCGTCTGAGCGGCGACGAGAAAATCTTTGGAAGCGTCGACCAACCTCAAACTCACGACCCTTGCGCTGTACGGCGTAACTCAACGAAATAACGGCCAACCTAAGACGATACGGATAACGAACACGAACTGCACCTTGCTGCAAATCCGACGGGCTACCCTTCCCCTGAAAAAATACGACCTACAACAATCACACGAAGAGGGTGAAGCTCTACAACAAACATCACCAACTCGGACAGTCGCGCGAGAAGAGAAGAGTTGTACACTCTCTACTATACCCCGCCTCCTCCTCCTCCTCCTCCTCCTCTTTTCTACCAAGCACAATGATGGCGTCGCGGGCCGCCGGCAAGGAACCGGCCTACCAACAACCATCGCGTGACGAGTTCCACCGCCTGACGGAAGACCAGCGGAATCAGATCACAGAAGCAGTACGGCTCAAGTTTCGTCCCCTCTACGCTTTATTCCTGCTGACCCGACCCTTCCTAGTTCACTGTATTTGACGCCGACAAGGACGCCCGCATCGATTACCACGAGTTCCGCTTCAGCCTCCGTGCCCTCGGCTTCGACCTGCCCAAGCAGGAGACTTTTCCCTACCTCACCAAATTCGCCCAGCCGCCTGCCGCCTGGCCCCGCGACAAGGAGTGCGCGCCCATCTGGCGCGAGTTCACATTGCCCGTGTTCCAGGGCATTGCAGGCAAGCTGATGGCGGAGCGGGACCCCGATGCCGAGTGCCGCCGGGCCTACCGGCTGTTTGACACGGACGGCAAGGGGGTGATTACCGTCGAGGACCTGCGGCGAGTGATGAAGGAGATTGGACAGTCGATGGAGGAGACGGAGTTGGCGGCGATGATCCGCGAGTTTGACGCAGAGGGAAAAGGGTACGACCACGCGGCTTATACTCTCCCTAAAAAACCAAAACAAGACCATGCTAACCAAGCCCAAACCAACAGGGGCGTCAACGAGGAAGAGTTTGTCAAGATCATGATGGCCAAACGACAAGCATGAAAAGTTTCATCAAAAGCGACGAAAAAGACAAGAAACCAAACGGCCTGACAAAGGGACGAACGTTGGCTGGGAGCGAGGACGGGACACCTATAGTGGTGTGGAACGTGACATTCGATGTGGCATGCACAAGCAACAAGCATCCTAGCAACCTGGAGAGACATAGCCGCTAAGTGGGCGCGTGCTTTGGCTTTCTTAGTCTCGTATTTTCTTTTGTTGCCTCATAGTTTAGGATGTTTTTGGTTCTTGTTTTTGTAGTGCCTTTTTCTTGTACCTCATTTATCAACTTTAGAATACCCGGATACAAAATGGAATTTGGATCCTGCGTTGTCCCCCATATCCGCCTAGTTGTCCTTGCGTTGCCCAGTCTCCATTGTTTTTCTTCTTCTTGTTGCGTCCTGTACCTCTTGGCCTGCATCTTCCGAATGCTACTTGGTTGGCCTCCCTTGTCCTCAGTGCATTCACGTCTTGATTGGTGGCCGTCACGTAAACAATCACGTATCATGCAGGCCTCCTTGTGGCTGCACGATAACATATCTTCACACGATTGCGTGTCTTCCACTTGCATATATGTAAGTGTACTCTTGCTTCGTTTACCATTGTGAAGGCGTATCGGCTTACTCTTTAGCGGATCCTCGACACGAAGGATCTACAAGATGTACGCTCGGAGAATGTGTATGGAATATTTGGGCGTAAGGTTGGCAGCCCAGGCGCACAATATTTCCAACCTGCGTAAAAGTGAGAGGTGCCCAAAAACCTCACTACTGGGCGTGATTCATGTACCCTCTTCTCTTCCGCCAGCCAATAAATCTTCCCTCTGCATCTTATCGGCTCGTTCACCGTTCCGGCGACGGTGCCAAGACCGCCTGGGCTCGGGCAACATGCGAGGACGCTCATTGGAGCAGACTGCCGAAACGGCCAACGCACAGTCTCTCATCTTGTGCAGTGTCCTCTTTTCTTTTGCATGGGCCAGTTCCGAAGCCATCTCGGGACCAATTTCCCTTTCAATGGCTCGGCTGAAGTCGGGAAAGGCATCAAAGTGTAAGGGGGGAAATAACATGAAAGAATGAAAGGGAATGGAGCCAAGAAAGGAAAAGATAACGGAAGGATTTGGCAAACGCACGTCTGATGCGAGATGGTGGCGCGGGCGGTCGGGCGGTCGTGGTGTCTTGGGTCAGCGTAGGAGGTGTGTGAAGCCCTTCGAGTCCTTGACACATGCCTGTCCCCCTTGCCCTGTTCCTGACGGCGCTGGCCTGCTGGCCTGCCTGACCCATGCATGTTTGCTCGACGGCCGAAAGCCGGCGTGCCTTGGGAAAATGCCGGTGCTCACGCCGGTGGGTTTCATTGTGGTGATAGCTGTGCTCACGGTTCTCTGAATTTTTGTGTCGTTTAATCTCTGACGGGTGAGGCGCACCTATTTCAATCTACACGACTTTCCAGAAATTTCATTACATTTTTGCTTCTTTTTATCAACGAGCCACAGCGCGCATGGTACAAACCGATGCGCAGAAACCACACAGACACACAGGCCATACGTTTTGCCCCGGTCTCGAACGGTTGGCGGCCGAAGGGAAGTGGGAAAGGTACGACGAGGGAAGGACGGCGAGAGGAAAACGGAAGGCGGATACAGACGGTACAAATGTGGGTCCACAGCCGGAACAGAACTCGCCATAAGCTGGAAGTTGCATTTTGTGGGGAAGGCGTGGGAGCGAATGGATTCCGGAGGGTTGCGTGCATGAGCCCATTGTGGAAAGGAAAGATCATGTAAGGGACACCTGCCCTTTTTGTTCCGAGAAGTTTTCGTGTCCCGCCTGCAAAAACGGGGTACTTGTGGCACTGTGCGTCAGTCAGCAGAGAGCCAAGTATCCACGCTGTCTCGATTTGTCTCAGGATATGTCCCAACTGGTGACGAGAACGACGTAATTACAGAGGAGCGAAGAATCGCGAAAAAAGAGAAGGGGAAGAAAGTAAAGCCCAAAAACCAGAAATATGGGATAATCAAAAGTAGATAGCCGGATCGACAAGACGGCAAGTAATGGACAGTAGTATGCAACGGTTGCCTGCTACCGATATCAACAACAAGAACAGCCAACGAGAAGATAAGGTCACGAAGAGACATCCGCATGTCCCAAAGTAAATATCCAATCCTTCGTAGGATGCCTTAGACGTCGCCGTCTTCTGCTTCATCGCCCTGGTAGTTCGATCGTCAGGGATATATTTTGTATATTTTTGTTTCCTAAGCCATATCTCGTGTCTTGCAGCCTCTGCTGTGTCTGGTTGAGCTTCGGATATTTCTTCCCCTTTTGCAGTTTTGACCTATTTTAGGTACGAATTTGCCCCGTTCAGTCACGATGGTCTTCAGCCGGACTGCAGCGCATTCCTTAACCTCGTGTCTTTGCTGTTCCTGTTACCCCTGACCGCATAAAACAACATCACATGTTCAGCAAACCGTTATTTTACTGTTTATCGTTCTAAGCCGCCTACTGCGTAATTTTGCACGGGCAAAAATCTCTGCACCGGTTCCTGTGCTCACCTGCCACTCTTTTCTCATTTTTGGTCATTTTCCAGACTTTTCGGTGTGACAATGCCTGCTACTTACTACTATTTTCAGCCATACGGTCCACAAGGCGCCCAAACCGTCGAGGTCACGATGGGGCGTGTGTGTGGGGTTGGCTGCGTTGCGGGCCCTGGCGGTGGGCGCTGGGGCGGTGGATGACCTGTGTTCTGGGGACAACACCGCCTGGATTTACGTAAGGCCGCCATTCCCTGGGGAAGGCTCGGGAAAGATCGGGACTCTCTGTACGTCTCGAAAGTGAAATAGGCAAGTCGATGGCAACAGAACATTTCTTACTCGTCCCTGGTGGCTACGGTGGGGAATGGACCACAAAAAGTTCTGGGCCTAGACAGACCGTTGCTCGTGCAGTTTTCTGCTGTTTTCGGTCTGTTGTTGGTGCTCAGGTGCTGGCAAAGGAAAACCATCGCGACAGCAAAAGCAAGTGGCCGTCGTGCATCATCAATGGGGCTAAAGAGACAACAAACGACGAAGTACAGCGGAACAGGGGGACAGGGGAGCAGGGGAACGACAAGGGAGGGGCGTGTAATGTCTGGATTACGCTGGAACTAGCAAGCTGCCTCTTTTTTTTGAAAGCGGTTGTATTGGTCGTGCCGTCTTCGGTACATCTTTCTGTCGTTGACATATTCGGACAGGTTCACGCATATTCCCCTTCGTAGGTGCCTGGATGTCTCGGTAGTTGCTGCGTATGTCGTCTTTTTTTCAGTCCTATCCGATGGACGAATTCGCCAAGACGACAATGACAGAGACAGTGATCGTGACAAGACGTGTCGATGACAGGAGGAGATCCTGTCAACAGTTACACATATATCGGCGCACCAATACGGAGCATCACAGATGTCTTGGCTTTTTACTGAACTGCTTCCGTGGACGGTATCCGCGCGTGTCTCCGTGCGGTGTGTGTGAATACGGCGTCCTCATGCAGGTTTCGCAGAACTTCTGCGATTGGCTCTCGCTATTCCCCGACTTGTTCCTATCTTTTGTTGCGAGCAAACACTCAACTCTGTACCCCTGCACAGCCCGGAAAGTCGTCGAAGAACCTAGCTTGGCGATATTGAAAAGAAGACGAGTTCAGTCACTGTTGGGAGGAAAAAGCACCTGAAAAAACCATGCGTACGTGCAAGTCATAACGCAGGGTACTGTATTAGTAGTCCACACCCTGGCAGCCTGACTAGCCGAATGACCAACTAGCAACTTCGCCCCAATGGCCTCGCCTGGACTCATTCCCCCAGATACGCCAAGTTTAATGATCTCGCCCGCACCTTTGCCGAGCCAATACACCCTAAGGCTGAGCATACCCCCTTCCTCTCCCAAATTGTCGTGGCAGTCGTCAATGGTTGCCGGAGTCAATCACGGCTCACTACCAGTCTGGAATACTGACTGCCTCCAGTTTCCACAGCACGAGATTTCTTCTTAGCTACACTGGTATGTCTTTTATGGCTCTCATTGCGTAGATAGCATCCTGCTGCAGAAGACGAGAAGGTCAATTCGCAATCTTCCAGCTATTACCACGTTCCAGAGACCTTTAGGTGGCGATCACAAGCGTGCCACACTTTCAAGACCTGGCCTTGGCGGCGTCTGATTTGCTGCATCACATGGGTCACGCCTCTTTAGTGACATCAACAACATCGGGACGACCAAGGCAATTGACCTCAAAATAATTTTCAAATGTTCATTTCGTGTTTCTTATTCGACGTCTGTTTTTTATTACTTCTCTGTCTAATCACCCCTCGTTGACCACCTCTCCATAGTGATTAAGACCCATCAATTGGTTTGCTCGTATTTACGCAGTGGACCGCCGCGAGGCTGTCGCTGGACATTGCAACTGGTCTGTTGGTGTATTTTTACGCACAAAGAACTACGCCATCAGATGTCATTCTCTCCGCTGATCACTCTCCGCACAAGGCAGCGCCGCATTCATAATCGTCATTTATTGGTCGGTGAGCATTTTCACGATGTACCCCAAGCTTCAAAGCCGCATCTGCCCGAATGCCTTCATTTCTTTGTACTTCTCTTCTTCCTTTCTCTTTCGCGTTCTGTTTTATCTGCTCATACTGAAACTACACCCGAAAGTGTACAAAATGGCACATTCAATTACAATACAATTATCTTCCATATACCCGGCACTTTTGATGTACCGGGCAACAGTCGAAGTCATCGTGAATGTGCAGCCGCGTCTCCATCGCCGTAGACTGTACCGAAAGGAGACTCCGGCAGCTATCACACTGGGCCAAGAAATCGAACGGGGCGAAAACAAGGGTCCGGAACCGTTCCAAAGGCTCACCGAATCCAAACGTACGGCGCTCCACCGTGCCATTGAGAATTATGCTCGACTCCGGTCACCCATTCCTCCTCATTATTATCGTGCTTTCCATGTTCAGAAGCGTTTCTTGGTGGCTTTGGCTGTGTGGGTGTAGTTTGGTAGGGCATCTGGCTCCGAAAAGTATTCGTGACTGTAGTCGCCCCCGGGTTGATCCTCCATGGGTTAGGCTGACCCCAGCTTCCTTGGTGCTTTTGGTGGCGTTTGTTTGGTTCGATTTCTTTCTTCTCAGATTTTAGCAACATCAATCAGTGACGACAATGGTGGGTGCTCACCAAAAAGCAGGGAAAACGGTGGCATTCCACGAGCAAGGTGCGGGCAAACGGGGGCGTGTGGTTAGTCAAACCTCAAGTCAAGTGAGTATAAAGCCGGACTAAGCTCCAGTTTATTGACTACACGATTGCTCTTTCCTTCGTAGCCCGACAATTCAATTCAATCAAACTTCAAAAGCTACCGAGCAAACTGCAAGAGCAACCAGCAGATATCCGCTGTTGCCCTCTCTTCCCTCTTTGTGCCCTCATCGTTCCTTTTGCTTGTTGCCTCTGCAACCTGTGATCAATTCTTCCACCTCTTCGTTTCTCTGCCACGACCTTCTTCTTTCCGCTCTAAATAAACTCTCCACTCTTGTCTCTTGTCACTTCTGCAAGGCTCTCCATCCTTTTCGACATTCGTCTACTTTACGTTCTCGCCGTTTTGAAGACCTCCCTGCCACTAACACGGCACTAACAGTCGACGCTGCTGTGCTTTTCCTGCTCTCCTCTTTGCATCATTTTTCCTCGTTTGAGCTTTGCCCTGTCGCTCGTGCTCTCCCCGCCCCTTGTTGTACTTTCGCCCTCCCTCACTACGCCCTAAACAGCCAAGAGCCTCCCACTACGGGTCCTTTGGACGTCTCAATACATCCTTCTTTACATACCCCCCCCCCCTTTCTCCTCCACCTTCCCGTTACCCACACCGTCGAAAGCTAGTTGCCGAAGAACGAAAACAAAGACACAACAAACCAACAGTTAGCCGACCCGAACTTATCTCGTTGCTTCCGTTTTCTTTCTGCTCCGTCTTCACTCGTCAGAAGCTGGTTATATATAAACCATGGATCCCGTTCACCGCACCTCTTCTCCCTACATTGATCCGACCGTCAAAGGCCCTCAATCCAAGATCCTCTCCCGCAATCATCCCAACATCCAGGAAAAAAGTACGTGACCAACGTGATGGTTCTCTGAAGCTTCCATCTCTTCGTCTTGTCGTCTGTCTTGCTCATCGCATTGCCCCATCCTTGTCGTCGTCACTGGCTTCTAACTTTCTCTCCAACAGTGGTCACCACTACCGTCAACAAGACAAACCTCCACCCCAGCGGTGTCGCGTAAGTTGGACTCTCTATCTCTTCCCCTCCGTCTGCTTGAAATTTGTTCTCCAGACCGGAATCCTCGTATCTCCATGACAGTACACGCTAACAAGCTTCCGTTGCAGTCCTCATCCGGAGCCGCACACTGAAATCGGTATGATACTACCAACCTCGATGCTGTCGTCGATTCGACCAACACGACGTACTCGTCTACGGATGTCCATTGCTAACCAATTCCACAGAGGAGCAACTCCATGAGCAGGCTCACATTGACTACAACCGTGTTGCCATTGTAAGTCTTATCTCCTTGCATGGAAAGCAAATGTGTTCCACTTCGGAACTTGACATTAACAACCTCGCCAGATTTCCCACCCTTCAGTCCCCGCCCTCTACGAAGACGCTCTGGTCTACGAGCCGGGTTCCGGTATCTCGGCTACCGGTGCCCTGACTGCCTACTCTGGCAAGAAGACCGGCCGCTCTCCCTCAGACAAGCGCATTGTCAAGGAGCCGTCATCAGAAAAGGACATCTGGTGGGGCCCTGTCAACAAGCCTATGACCCCTGATGTAAGAACAACCCCATTACAGCTATCTGCTCCTGTGTTTTTACTTTTGTGCTTCTTTGTTCTGTGATGCAATTTTGCATTCGCATGTCATTCTCCCCTCTTCCGCCTGTGGCACGCCACCCCTGCATTGGCGCTTCCCTTTTCGGCTACGAATGACATCGTTGTATGTCACGTCCTATCACACGACCTCGAACCATCTTTAGCCTTCTCCGACGATTGCCGTCCTGTCAGCCGCAGGTACTCGCAAAACCCACCCAAAACTTTTTCGGAACGCTTTTGCGGCACTGCACAGCTTTGGTCAGCTTTTCCAAGTGGAAACCGAGAGTTCGCCCACGATACGATCACATATGGGCAATAGGCAAATGATACAGGGCGAAAGGACGGAAACGTCGACATTTGAAACCCCCCAGCCACGGAAGCTTGCTTTCGTAATTGCGCTGAGTTGGCAAGACAAATCGCATGTTCCTCATTGGCGACCGCATTTGCCCTCGGATTGAGACACCCGTCGCAATAGCAGCCTAACAAGGCAACTGTTGTCTTAATGCTGTAATCGACTCGCTCCTTCCGACAATTCCCTTGGGTTCCCCACTACCCCGGCCACTGGCGTCATGATGCATCCTCGGGCCAAGTGCAGGCACTTGCTTTTCATGCTTTTCGTGTGCCCCGCCCAGCGACAATTACCGAGCTAGGGACGCTTGTTCATCGGGTCCCCTTTGTCCCTCTTGCCTAATGCGGCAATTGGCCCCATTTGACCAACCCCAGCATTTTTCTACCATTCACATGCAAACCACGTGACTTTTTTATTTCATCACGCGACCACGCGACATCACCACTTTTGTGCTAACCTGCATTTCCCCTCTAGGTCTGGAAGATCAACCGCGAGCGTGCGATCGACTACCTGAACACTCGCAGCCGCCTGTACGTCATTGACGGTTATGCCGGCTGGGATGAACGCTACCGGATCAACGTGCGCGTTGTGTGCGCGCGCGCCTACCATGCCTTGTTTATGCGCAACATGCTGATCCGGCCACCCCCGGAGGAGCTGGAGCACTTCCATCCCGACTACACCATCTACAACGCTGGCTCGTTCCCCGCCAACCGTTACACCGAGGGCATGACCTCTGGTACCTCCGTCGCCATTAACTTTGCCGAGAAGGAGATGGTCATCCTCGGTACTGAGTACGCCGGTGAGATGAAGAAGGGCGTCTTCACAGTTCTTTTCTATGAGATGCCCATCAAGCACAACGTCCTGACACTGCACTCGTCTGCCAACGAGGGCAAGAACGGCGATGTCACACTCTTCTTCGGTCTGTCCGGAACTGGCAAGACCACTCTCTCTGCCGATCCCAACCGTGCCCTGATTGGCGACGACGAGCACTGCTGGTCCGACAAGGGTGTCTTCAACATTGAGGGCGGCTGCTATGCCAAGTGCATTGGCCTATCCGCCGAGAAGGAGCCGGATATTTTTGGCGCAATCCGCTTCGGCTCCGTCCTCGAGAACGTTGTCTTCGACCCCGAGACCCGCACTGTCGATTACGACGATGCCACCCTCACCGAGAATACCCGTTGCGCGTACCCCATCGAGTACATTTCCAACGCCAAGATCCCCTGCTTGTCCAACTCGGCCCCGAGCAACATCATCCTTCTCACGTGCGACGCCCGCGGCGTCCTGCCCCCCATCTCCAAGCTCAACAGCGCCCAGACCATGTTCCACTTCATCTCCGGTTACACCTCCAAGATGGCCGGCACCGAGGACGGTGTCACCGAGCCCCAGGCCACCTTCTCTTCGTGCTTCGCCCAGCCGTTCCTGGCTCTGCACCCCATGCGCTACGCCCAGATGCTTGCCGACAAGATCGAGCATCACAAGGCCAACGCCTGGCTGCTCAACACCGGCTGGGTCGGTGCGGGTTTCGCCCAGGGTGGCAAGCGCTGCCCCCTCAAGTACACCCGTGCCATCCTCGACGCCATTCACTCCGGTGACCTCGCCAAGGTCGAGTACGAAAACTACGACGTTTTCAACCTGCAGGTCCCCAAGTCGTGCCCCAACGTGCCCTCGGAGCTTCTCAACCCCAAGGCTGCCTGGACCGCTGGTTCCGACTCCTTCAATACCGAGGTCCGCAAGCTGGGTGGTCTGTTCATCGAGAACTTCAAGAAGTACTCGGACGAGGCCACGCCCGACGTCGTCAAGGCCGGTCCTGTCATCTAAACGATGCTCGCCGCGCCCTTTTTGATTTTCTCTATTGGAACTTGTACGACGTTTACGCCCTGTTTCGCGTTCCTGCTTCATTTCCGTTTTCCTTTGTTCTGGATTCTTGGGTATAAAATGCAATGTTTAATACTGTTGTTACTCGTTTTCTTTCTTCTGTACTGTATGTATATACAGTGCGACCGGTGGTGGAAGATTCGAAAACCGGGAATTGCGAGAGACGGCGGCTTCCTTGCTGTGCAGTGTGCAAAGACGCAAAGAAGTATTTGTTTGTCTTAAACCATTGAAAGTGGTTTTTACATACTTTTATATAGTACAAAGCGGTGTAGCTTTTTTTTCTCTTGGACTCCTTGACTTTCCCGTGCTTTTGTTTGCGCTACATAGCTCCAACTAGAATGATATTTTTTGTGACCTAGTATAATGGCCTTGAACATGGTGTGCGACATAACGCTTAAACATGGTATCAAAGACAGTGTTGATGTCGTCAGCTTTTGTCTTAGGATGTTTTTTAATACATGTCTACAGAAATACATAAAATCAATTTGAGGAACGTATTAACGTATTCAAGTAGTTTTTAAGAAATATTCCATTTGCAACGTATGTTAAAAGGTCACTAATAACGATAATACGTACAACAACACCAACATATATGGAACTTTTATAAACCCTAAAGTTCCTTACATGCTGCTGTTTCTGGAATGATACTAGCAATAATCAGCCTCTAGGGTCTCATACTATTGAAATTCTCCATCACAGAGCCTTGGTAGCCGGTCCCTTCTTCGTGCACACAATCCACTTCATGTACCCGCACGGCCACAGGTGCTGCACCTCGCCGCTGCGCAGATCCCACGCGTCCGTGTCGGCCGTCGACGCCCCGCATGTCCGCAGAAGCGCCTCCACCTCGTCCGGCGTCCGCGTCCGCAGCATCGACATCCAGCCGTCAAACACGAGTACAAATGGCAAAATGGGAATCAGGTATGTGAACACGAGCGTCATGGGCGACCGCCAGCGCCAGGCGTAGTAGGGCGCAGTCAGCAGGATGCCAAGCCCAAAGATGAGCGTAGTCACAAACGCACTCAGGGACCGGTCCTGCAACTCAAATATGCCGAAGCCATCGCTGGTCTCGACGGTGTTTTTGAGAATGTCGCGTGCGAGGGGGTCGTCAAAGTGGTGGAAAGCCAGGCTGAACAGGCGACAGACACGGGCGTCGGCCAATGCGGTGGACTGGGCGGTGGACGATCCGGCCCCAAAGGCCTCGTTGAGGATGGCTTTCGGATCGGCGTCGCAGGCGTCCACGGGCTGGGCCGCGTAGCGGACGTGCTGGCTGGCGGCAGCGGCGGCGGCCCACTCTTCGACATGCGGGTGCAAGTCTGTGAGGACAAACTGGGTCGGGGCTGCCTTGCTGTCCTTTCGGCTTTGACTGCCGTTGAGGACGCGTTCGATGCTGGGCGTCGGTCCGCCACCACCGGCGCAAAAGTCAATCATGATCCAGGGGGCTGCAGATGATGACTGCTGCGCGTTCTTTTCGAGCACCTCGCGTCGAAGCACGTCGGCAACGAGAGAGGCCGGCGAGGCGCTTTGCAAAATGGGGACACGCATGATCCAGGCCCGAGTCAATGCAGCCTGGATGCGGCCACGACACCATGCCGGGAACCTGTATTGGGCCTGTGTCAGGTGGCAATTCACGGTGGTGGTGGGAAGTGCGAGCTGTAGCTTACCATGGCTGGTCGTCAATCTCAAAGACATGCATGCGAGGGATTAGAGGTGCCATTGTGCGTACTGTTTTCATAGAAATGTACGAATTGAAGCTTGAACAGGGGAAAGGGGGGGGGTATGGTAAAGCTATTGCGGGAAGGAAAGATCTGAGAACCAATAGATGACGGAGCCCGTTGGAAGAGCTACCCCAATTGGATGCGAATTGGATTAGGCAGGTGCGACTGTTAAGAATGCGATGGCTTCTGTTAGAATGATATTGCCAAGCAATATCCCAGCTTTGACGAGGCCAATTGATGCAGATTGTTTCTTTAAGAAAAGGCAGATAAAATACGACATTGGACGTCGATTGAGGATTTCCTTCTGGCTACCGGCCTGAGGATAAAACAGGCGTGAGTTTTCAGACAGGTTGAAACAGGGCGCGCATGTTCTTATTGTTTTAAGGGATTGCGCAGCGCTTGCCAAGTCAGGACATAGCAGCCTGGCGACCACGATTAACGTTCAACTGGTATGAGCAACAGAGTTTCGTCACGAATGAAGACCTATGTCGTACTTCATTTGACCTGAAGACTTTGAAAAATGAGGGTCGGATAAACTTGACAAGTAAGCGCAGCCAACTTCGCATTCTTGAGAGGCGCAGGTGCACCAGAGCTCTCCGATTGGTACGCGCGCCCCTCGACAAAGCGGCCAATATCTCTACGCCGCCCCGGTTTCGTCACTAGATGTCAGTCAATCCACCCGATGCCCGATGCCCGACTACCAGGCAACATCTCGCCCCGCGACAACGGGCACTCTTATCTCGCCGCCTCTTTCTTTAGCTTCTGTTGCCTTTTTTTTTTGTATTATCGGCTTTCGGCTTGACTTCACTATTGTCTAAATGCAGTCCTGTCGTTATAAGGTCATGAATTTCGTCAAATATTGCAACTCAAAGAATCTATCGCTTTTCTGTCCCATCCGGCCATTGTCGTAGACTCGGTCCATGTGGCCGCTGAAATACAGGTGCCGAAAACGGCCTCCTCGGAATAAACCAAAACTGCGCCTGTCCTCCGGCCAGCTGAAGTCATCGTCATCTGATATGTCCAATCCCTATGCGTGTATGCTGTTCATAGTCCATCGCTCCCTTTATGAAGTCCCTCCTTCAGTCGTTCACTTGCGTCTCTTGGATGTCCGGTCCTTGTATTTGGGAAACACAATCGAGCCCTTCTTCGCCCTCCGTTTCTCAATGCGCTTCTTGCCGAGCGGCTTCTTGAGAATCGCTCCCGAGTCGACCTCCATGGCAGCTGCTGTTCTGTTAGTATATTGCTTGTTTCAAAGACCGAAATCTGTCTTCTCTAAACAAGACCAAACAACTTACAGGCTTCTTCCTTGAGTTGGTCGCTCGGTGTGGGCTCCTCGTCCGCTGCATGTTTGTTAGACGGTATTCTCTCTTTTCTAAATTCTGCCATTCGCCCAGCAAGATAAACCCACCATCGGCAACATCTTCCATGGCGTTCGGGTCCTCCTTGGCCTCCTTCACGGGCGCCGGTTGGGCTGCCAGCTCCATCAGCTTCGCGGACAGACGCTCTGTCCGGGCCGACTCGACGGGGCCGAAGACATTCTTCTTGAGCTTCTGGTTGTTGTTCTTGCGCGAACTCGCGCGCGCGCTCTTGGCCATTGTGTCTGTGTGAGGGAGCTGTGTGAGGGAGCAGTGACGGCCTCGTAAATATGCGTGGTTGTGATGAATATATCGCGTTGTCGTACGTCCTGCTTTCCGCCTGCTTTCCTTTAGTCTTTACCACTGACTTTTTTCTTTATTCGGCATTTTTTTTCATTATCAACTTTTTTCTGCCGGTTTTTTGCGCTATCATAATGCACGCGTTAATAGGTTACTTTAACTACTTTTCGCCGCCCTTCACCGCCTTCATTAACGCTCTCGCTCTCAGTGAGGCAGGTGGTGGCCGAACAGGCGCCCAGTATGTTGTACCATCGCCCCCCAAGTCGCCTAGAGCGAAACACCCGAAAAATGTCGACACGACGGGTGACGGTGACGACGTCGACGACACCGCCCGACAACGACTTTGCACGCCGCGCGCGGACGCGATTCTTGTGACACGCCACACACCGTATGCCATCGCTAACCTACGTGCTCTCTTTCTGAGCTCTCTCTGCCTCTTCTCCAGCAACCTGCCCTCTATCACTATCGCTGCGCGGCTTAAAGCATCTTATGCCACGTTTTGTCACGCGAGGCTGCGACGTTTTACTCTCTCGCCCTGCTCGGGTCCTTCGCCGACCTACACATTTTACACCTTCAACACGAGACTCTGTGACTCTTCCGTCACAGATACCGACGCGCCTCTTCATCGCACCACCGCCCGCCTCAGCCGCGCAAGCAAAGGTTCCCTTTTGACACAGATCGACGATATCCGTACAAACGACGAGCCTCGTGAACTTGGGGCAGGCCTTGGTTGAACGCCACCTGGGCCTGACAAGGCCCTACCACAGACTCAAACAACGTTTAGGAGCTGCACGTCGAACTGCACTTTCCATTCACTACCCCAAAGGCTGAGACGCTTCACTTGCCTCGCGCCGGCTTCTCAAGCACAGCATTTGGCGACGTGCAACGACCTCCCACAGCGCACTCACGTCACGCCGATTCTCGCCGCTATCCCCGCTACGAACCTTCACTTCTCTGCACCATGGCGTCTCAGCAACAGGAGGTCAACAAGCTGGTGGCCACGATCCAGGTTCTCAAAAATAGGGACCTGATTTTCATCTGCCAGAGCAATGGCCTGGCCAAGTCGGGCAACAAGGCCGATCTCCATAAGCGGATCATCAACTGTAGGCTGGCCTCTTCTTCCTCTTCTGCACTTTTCTTTTGTATCCTCATAGTTTTCGTCACCTTTTTCTATTGGCTTTGTCTCGACACCACCGTGCAACCATCATGCTACTTTCCATCATGGACAGCGTCTCTCGTTGGTTTGCCTCTTCTGTTAACAAGACGACCACAGACATCGATGCATCCGTTCACGACCCGAACCAGCGAAACTATAACAACATCCGGAACAGTATTATGCAGGTGACAAATGGCACTCTTCCGGCCAACTACCGCGGCTCCTATCTGGGCAACTCCCCGATCCCCTCCTCACCCTCTTACAACCAGGCCGGCATGTCCTCGCCGTATAACGGCACTGGCGGGACACAAAACGGTCTCGGGCACAACGGTGCACGGGCAGTCTTCTCACACCAAGGGCTCCAGTTCAAGCCGAGTCCCTTTTACGAGATCGAAGCACCAATTGGAGACGTCCGACAATGCGAGGGTATGTCACAGCTGCTCTGGGAAACGAGGCGAGACGAGACTGGGGCATCGCCGTACTAACAAGCTTTGCAGCTATGGCACAACACCGGAATAGCATCACCATTGTCGTCCGCGCCTCCCAACATCCCGACCTCCAGCGGTGTCTTACCGACCCGGCCATCCGCGTCATGATCTTTTGTGCGGCGAACAACTACGGCATCCAAGATGTGGCTTTTCCATATCAGTGCGAAATCAAGGTGAACGGCGGCGAGGTCAAGGCCAACTTGCGGGGCTTGAAGAACAAGCCCGGTTCGACGCGGCCCGTGGACATCACAGACCAGCTGCGCCAGAAGCCGCCAACCTACGGAAACAGCTTAGAGTTTACCTACGCACTGACGTCCAAGGTTCGTATAGTCAAATACATTTTTTTATTGCTCCGAAGAATAGTCTAACGTTTGTACAATAGCGATTCTACCTTGCGTTGTATATTTGCAAAACATACTCTGCACCAACCTTGGCATCAAGGATAGAAAAGAGAAGTCGCATTACAAGGGCTTCTGTTATTCGGGAAGGTATGCATAGAGCCATCCTAGACCACATTTAGTATTTCACCGTGCTAACTCAAACCCAGTCACAAAACAAGCACAAGATCCAGATATTGTGGCGACCTCGTTGGTATTGTCGCTCAAATGCCCCTTGACCTACATGCGATTGTCATTACCAGTCCGGGCAACAACATGCAAGCACATTCAATGCTTCGATGCAACATCGTACCTGCAGCTACAAGAACAGGGCCCGCAGTGGCTCTGCCCTGTGTGCAGTAATGCGGCACCCTACGATGCGCTGGCTGTGGACGAATATGTCAAGGACATTCTAGAAAACACGCCCAGTGACCTCGACCAGGTCACCATCGACCCAGACGGCACATGGCACACGGCCAAGGACAAGGATCAGGACCGAGCAGGTGGTGTCTCAACTCCGCCACGATCCAACGCCGCAGTCACATCGGTTGCCACGCTGCTCGACGACGAGTTTGAGATTTTGTCGACCCCTGTCCCGCGAAGGAGCAATGGCTACTCGAACGGTGACGGCGGCAGCCAGCCGAACAGCAATGGCGGTAGCACCGTCGTTGGCCATGGCAACGGCAACGGCCACGATATGTCGAGCAGCAACCCCACGCTGATCAATAGCCGTGACACCACGGCGACACCTAACAGGAGTACCGTGACGCCCAACGGTGGCGGCGGCCTCAACTCCAACAACAAACGCCCACGCGAGGTTATTGACCTGACGCTGGATAGTGACGAGGATGACGAGCCTCTACCACGCCGGTTTAAGCGACAAAACACGGGCACTGACAGCACGGGCTATGGCGGGTCTGGTTCGTCTGCGGCACTGTATGACGGTGTAATGGGAAACGCCCAATTCTAGCAGGACCTCTCGCCTGCTTCGTAATCGTCCTGGCCCATGATTTTTTTCACTTTAATGTTTCCCTTTCGGTTACTTCTGAACATTTACAAATGAGCGGCTTGCGTTTTAACTCTTCGGCTTTCTGGGTTTTTGTATCTCATATACCTGTTCCATGTATTTTTTTTTTACGATGCACTTTCAAGTCGACTTACAGCGTGACGTCTTTGCGACATAGGACGTGTGGTTCGGAGAAGGACACAGGAGGTGAGGAAAGACACTCGCCTTCTTGCTCGGCACACTCTAAAACAAGAGAAGGGTGAACAAAGTGTGCGGGATACTTGCGTTCGTGACACACTGCAACATATGGAGGGTATGGAAAGGAAATTGGGTGCGAGTTGAAAACATTTTTATTTTCAAGTCTTAATCAAAATTGATTCCCAACTATTATTGGCCTCCAATTGAAAATAACATATCATACCTTAAATCACCAAAAAATTGATATGTCGCATCTCACGTTGCTGTTGTTGTCCTGCCTCTTTCCATATATACTGCATAATAGAATAATATGCAAATAAACTGTATCTATTATCTTTTAGTACAATATATCTATATAACGAGGCACACTGAAGGACCCTTCCGGGAAGAGAGTGCCCCACTTTAGCTAAGGTTGGCAGTTTAGGGGTCAGCATCGGGCGAAACGTGTAACAAACCGCGACCTCCAGCAGATGCAGCATATTATCGCGAAACGAAGGCAGCAAGTGGTGTATGCAATTTAAGATAACATCTCCACCCGTGGCACATCTCATTGACTGACGACACAAGCTCATAAGGAGCTCGCCAAACAACGACCAGAGGCTCACACGTCTCACGTATTCCTTGCACATTTGCACACACATCATTAAGAAACCCTTCATACTGGGGATGACGTCGATCTGAGCATGAGAGTTGCAGGCGTTCATAATAGCGCACTTCTTCATCACACACCTTGCCTGTTTACATTGTCTTTCGTCCCGTCTCTCACAACACCACAACCATGTCGTTTGACCCCGTCTTACCCCCGTTCAACGCGGGCGACCCGGGTGCAACGTTCTTCAACTCGTCGTGCCTCGACTTCTTGCTCATTGAGCTCGTCCCGATGGCCTACCGCGTGACAAATGAACTTGAGGCGGGCGCACAGGCACGGTCATTGGCGGTGGCTGCGGCGGAAGCAGGACTCGAGGGGGCAGCGCCACATCCAGACGCACAAGGAACAGCACCAGGAGCTGCTGCTGCTGCTGCTGCTGCCGGAGCAGCAGGCGCAACAGGTAGCACAGCTGCAGGGGCACCAGCACCAGACAAGGTGGCGGCGGCAGCCGGCAGCACAGCGGGCACGGGCACAGGCACAGCGACAGGGACTCTCAACACAACGGGCCCTGGCGGCGGCCGGCGGCTGCTGGACGAGGACGAGGAGCGGGACGCCGTGTTTTATCGGCTCGAGATGCTGGGCTACCGGGTCGGGCAGGGTCTGGTGGAGCGGTTCTCGCGGGAGCGGCCACGGTTTCACGACACACTGGACGTGATCAAGTTCCTGTGCAAAGATTTGTGGACGCTTGTGTTCCGGAAGCAGGTCGACAATCTCAAGACGAATCATCGGGTGGGTTTGGTCTTCCCCTTGCCCCGGACCGTCCCGTTTTTCCCTCTCGACTTGAACTGTGCAGCTCTGCTAACATTGCATAGGGCGTCTATGTCTTGACAGACAACGCATTCCGGCCATTTCAGAGGATGAGCACCGAGGCCGGCGGCCAGGCGGTGGTGCGGGCACAGCCGGTAGGTGGTCTTCTCCTTTTTGCGTTTCCGACATGATTACTTTTTACCCCTTTGCTAACAGACTGCAGTTCCTTTGGTTTCCGTGCGGTATTGTGCGTGGCGCGCTGGCGGCGTTGGGCATCACGGCCACGGTGCAGGCCGAGAGCAACGAGCTGCCCGGGGCCATCTTCCAGATCAAGACGATTCCGGCCAAAGCATAGTCGGAGCGTCAGTCAGGCAGGAACATATTTACTCTTTATATGGTTTCTGGAAGATTTCCATTTCTGTTTGTCAACCAAGCGTCCTCTTTGTACTTTTAATGACACCAGCCGCCAGCATTACGGTATTAAAAAACTAGGGATCTCTGTTCTTGCTGTTCTGATAATCTGCTCTCGTATCCTCCTAACCACAGTGTGCATCGTACCTCGCTTCGAGGCTTACTTCTCCCAAAAATAAACGAAGTAAGGTACAAAAGATGCTGTAGTGCTGCACTAGTGACAAAGACTCTTCCTCATCCTCTATTTTACCGGTTGTTTTGTTGGGATGGAATGGCGCCGGGCCAGGAGCAGCCTCGAGGCGGCCGACATTGGTTTCCAAGAGGTGAGATCTTAAGACAGTTAGGGGTGCAGCGACTTGTTCGTGGGGCCAAGCTGCTTAGCTCTCATCTCCTTTTTGAGCTTCCACGTTTGCAATATCAAACCAACCATGATGGCTTTCTCCCAGCTTACGGATGACCAAATATGTAACATTAGAGGCAGCAACTGCGATGAACGGCACGACCTTGGACGGGTCTTATTATCCCTGCCAGCCTTGAACTTGGGAGCGCTACAAACTGCGTTACTGTCACGATGTGAGAAAAAACCATCAGACAATATTGGGAACTCGATAAAATGACACTCGAAATGACTGCGTGCAGTGCGGTCAATTCGGTTGAGTTGCCTGCATGAAAGGTTTATAGTGAGTGAAAGTGAAAAAAAAAAAGAATGTACAACACAATGAGAGGAACGGGTCGGAAAAGGAGATGAATTACGACTCCGTAACAGGCAACCATACATGAATCGGACATAGGCAAGTGGACATTGCCTTTGACATGAATACTCCGATGAAGATGTCCGTTTCCCTCCCCCGGAATAGGGAGCAGATACCAGTCAGACAAGAGGCCCCTCATAATTGGCGCCATCGTATATGGAGCCCCTCTTCCTCAGTCTTCCCCCAACGAGAGGATAAAATGCGTTCCTCGCAGAAAAACCGCAAAAAATTGGAGAGAAATTTATAACGGATCAAATTCTTAATCAACGGTAAACAAAACACGCCCAAAAAAGACCCTTGTAGGAGCGCCGTGAAGATGTCCGGTCCATTTCGAGCTTTGTGCCTTCGGCGATGTCCTCGGATATTTTCCGATTCAGATGCCGCGTGTATTATGGCACACTCAAAAGCTTCAACAATCCTCAGGTCCTCCCTCCTCTAGAGACAAATGATGCAAGGGAAAACTGAACCTTGTCACTGGTCCTTACCCCTCACACCTACTTGAACTGAACCCCTCCACCGCGCCTGGGATCCCCTGCGGCTTCGCGCGTCCAATTCACCCAACTGACCTTGCATCACCGCCGGTCTCGCTCCACTTCGTTTCCATCTTTCTTCGTGTCCTTTACCCCAGGTACCCACCACAAGTCAAGCTCCCCAACACATAAAATTCGCGGTGCTGTTGTTTGCTTGCCGCACCAAATATGAGGCGGGTGTCAGGCGGGCGGCCTGGCGTCTTCTGTTTCGCCCAATTCCCATCCCTTTTTCGAATTCATGGCCATTGTGTCGTTCCAAGTACATCCCATGGTGCCCCGGCTCGCTCGCTTCCTCTTCTTCCTGTCCGTATCCCTCTCCTCTCATTTAGGTAGCTTCTCCACTCTACTATCCCGCTCTCAATCCATGGCTTTTCGAGCTTGGGTCGTTATTTGAGGTCGTTCTCGTCCGTCTTACGCGGGCCTCGTGCATCTCGAACATGCGCAGGCACCGTACTTTCTCCGCCTGTCTCGTCGTTTCTTTCGCGCCATTCATGCGCCCCTTTTCCCGCTCTTGGCTCGCTCCCACTATTCGCTCACGCTATTCACTCGTTTTTTGTTTCTTTATTTCTCCCTCTCACATCCGCCGGATGTCCTTCTCCATTGTTTTTGCTTTTTAGGTGCTTTGGTACAGGGTCGTTTCGGTTTGTAATGCATCTGTTGATTCTCATGGTGGGATTCCCCCACCACACTTGCCGCAGAGCACACGGCAGTGGTCATAATTATAGTTGGGTGGCGTCGTGGCGTCGCGGCTTGTTCGTCGATGTGCGGGATGCACACAAGGCAGGGGTGGTAGGACTCGTAGGTAGGTGGGCAGGAAGCACGTCGGATATGTTTCGTGCTCTTCTTTGGTCTGATACACAGACAGAAGCGGTTCACCTACAACCTAGACATTTTCCAAAAGGGAAAGAGAAGAAAAACAGATCAGCAAAGCTTGGCCTTTTTGGCTGGGTTTTGTTTGCACGAAGATTGTGATTTCGTGTTTTGCTCTCGCTATATGTTTGGGTCTACTGATCCGAAGCCAGAAAAAAAGCAGCCGTTTGTTCCCTTAAGGGTTTCGAAAGCAAAAGCAATATGATTCTGCAGAGCATTTCTATTCCCTCCTTTTTTGTTGTTTTTTGGTCTTATGTCGAAAAGAATGCACCACTCCTTCCGTACGTTCTGTTCAACCTTCTATTGGCACCAGGTTGTCCGTACCTGCTGTGTCACACTAGACGGCACAGCATTGAAGGACGGGACACCGTTTGCGACAAAGGGGGCTGTTGATCTTTGGTATGTTTTTTGTGTGATGCGCAAGTAAAAAAAAAAAGGCAAAGGGGGCACTAGATTAAGTGGGAAAGGGGAGCAATCACTTTTGTGCGGGAGGCTTGTTGGCGAACGTGACACCCTTCTGGATGTTGTCCTTCAGGCCACTGACGGCCTTGTCCAGCAGCTTCTTCTCCTGATCGGTGATATCGCCGAGAACGTCGACGGCCTTCTCGGCACCGTTGGGCTGCAACACATGTCAGCATAGAGTTACACAACGAGAGGGGTAGAAAGGAGGGACAAAATGGGGGAAACGTACGCCAAGCTCGATGGGGACCGAGAAGAAGTCGACACCGGTCTTCTTAGCAATCTCCTCGCCGCCCGGAACACCGGGGAGGTAGACGTAGCTGGGCTCGACAAGGCCCTTGGCGCCCTTGACAGCCTTCAGCAGCTTCTCAGCAAAGCTAGTTTTGGTGTTAGCTTCTTCTTACATTATCCGAAGGAGTATGGGCAAACAGCCTGAACTAGAATAACAATAGCTTACCGGTAGCCGGCGTAGGCCATGGAAAGGGTGGCAGAGCCAGCACCGTCCTTGGCCTTGACGACCTCATCGCCACCGAACTGGACACGGTTGACGAGCGCATCGTACTTGTCGGCGGGGATGCTGACGGAGGGCTTGACCTGGCTGAAGAGGGGAACAATGGTCTCCCCAGAGTGGCCACCGATGACGGGGACGGTCAGCTCCTGGGGGTTAGCCTTGCCGACGATCTCCGCAACGAAAGTCTCGGCGCGGACAATATCGAGAGTAGTAACGCCGAACAGGCGCTGGGGGTTAAAGACACCGGCGGCCTTGAGGACCTCGGCGGAGATAGGAACCGTGGAGTTGACGGGGTTGGAGATGACGAGGATGAAGGCCTTCGGGGCGACCTCGGCGGCGACCTCAATGAGGCCCTTGACAATACCAGCGTTGATGTTGAAGAGATCGTCACGAGTCATGCCGGGCTTGCGTGGAATACCAGCCGGAATGACAATGATGTCGGCATCCTTGAAGGCGGTCTTGGCGCCGTCGTTGGCGGGCAGGAAGCCAGCAATCTTCTGCACGGGCTGTTAGAGACAGGTCCCAGGGAGGAGCTACCGCGGCTCCGGTACCGCCAAAGAATACCAACTTACAGCGTTGGAAGAGATGTGCGACAGATCAGCGGCAACACCAGGGGTGTTGACGACATCGTATAGAGCAAGCTCGTCGACGAGCGGGCACAACTTCAGGAGCAGCGACAGGGGCTAGAGGGTGCATTGTTAGTTCTCGTTGACGGCCATGCGAGTAGAAGCACATAGGAAGAAGCGTAATACGAACCTGTCCGATACCGCCAGAGGCGCCAGCAACAACTATCAGAACGAGTCAGCTTGAAGCTCCCAAACTTGCTGCTTGTAAATCATTGGACTCGAGCGAGCGCCCTCGCCAGTTCGACTTAAGCTCCCAACTACAATGGCGAGTAATAAGAACAGAAAAACCTACCGGCCTTGACCATAGTGGGCAGATGTGTGTTTTGAGGGCTAAAAAGGGGAGAATGTGTGTTTTGCGGTGTTGGTTGATGCTCTGATGAGAAACTGCGGGGTTGGAGCTGGAAAGCTTTTAGAGGAAACGCGTGTTAGCGAGTGCAAAGCTCGATGTGTTAAAGGATGGCGAAGGTAGGGCAATGTTTACCTGTAGATATGCGGATTAATCGGCAATTTGGAGTCGGTCTGGGGAGGAGAGAGAAAGAAGAGAAAAGGTAACGAGAGGGAAGAAAGAAGAAGAAGGGGGATGAAGAATGGGGAATGGAGGAAAGAAGGCCGAGGCGTTCAGAAATATGGCAGGAGAGACCGAGGTGGGACACTAGGAGCAAGGTAAGACAGCGGACAGCCGGATTTTGGGTTCTGTTGATTATAGTTAATTCCCCGTACTTTACAGCGTGGAACAACGTATAGCGGGGTCCTTTACTCCATGTTTCCCCCCTGTGACGCCAGCACGGCGCCGGCCGACCCAACACTGTATCTCCCCTTCGCTACTGCCGTTCTTGGACTTTGCATGTGCCGTACGTGATCGTACTTTCTCCTACTCTGGGTTCCATACACCTTTAACAGCAAGAGCGAACGTCTCTTTTGCTCACGTACGATGTGACTTGCGCAAAGTATATTGCCTCCTTCCTTGTTTCCATGTCTCCCCATTCCGCACTCCAAACACACGTCCGCATCACAATGTTGTGTTCTCTCGCCTAACCACCCGCCCAGTGCTCTTTCCCTTTTCCCCTGCCGTACTTTTGTCGCCTATGGCGCTACCTCGCGCCTGCCATTTCAGCCCGCCATACCAGCCCGCCATTCCGTAACTGAAAAATGACCACGGCATACAATGGAAGTAGCAGTGGTGGTATAACTGTAGATGGCGTCCGTAAGCGGCACATCCGATCTGGACTGTGGGATAAATCGAGACGGCTCTTGGGCGCCTCCGGGCTATCTAGGAGAACTTTCGTCATCCAACCAGCACATCCCGAAACTGACCCTAAATGTCTTTCTCAGTCTTTCAAAGACACGACACGACTTGTACTGCCGTTAAGCGAATTGCATGCTGGCCAGCTATAAGACACTTGCTTATTTCTACGTACGCTTGTATGCCGTCCTGCCCGATCTCTTCTATCCATGTTCGAAGTGCAAACGTCTCACACCAGTCTCAAGAAACCAAGCCGTTACTCCTCAGGAAACAGGTACACCGCCCAGGCTCGTCTGTATACAAGTATATTTGACCCATAGCTGAAGCTCAGTGGAACGGTTGAACGGCTTTTCCCGACTTTGCTTGCCGACATATAGGCCGTCCCGAAAAGCATCACGTATATCCAAGGCTGTGCGCTGCACCGGCCGTTCTTACGTCTATTTGAACTGTCCCTATTGGCTCTCTTGAGCTTCACCTCGCGACCTCGCACCTAGCGTCCCTCAGCGAGCTGGTTCTCCTCGGGTGCCTTGTGTAGATTGCGCGTTGCTGGACTTAAAGATTGTGTCGTGCGCGAGTCGCGAATCTGGCCCGTCTTGTAAAGGCGCATCCTCGGCTGCATCGGGACCAGTCGGAATCCGGTCCGATGACGACGGAATCAAGTGACAAAGTTCGCTTCTCGGACAGCCCAAGGTTGGTGGTCCATAAAACCATTTGAATTATAATCTGTTTTCAGCCACATGTATTGTCAACTTTCTTTGCACATAGGCCATTGGTTTTGTCGCTGACGTCGATATTCACGTGCAAATTCGTACATGTACGCCATGTGAATAGTCCGACAATTGGCCACCCCCAGAGGAGGCTCCATAATACGACGGGGTTGCCAACCAGGGGTTTATTTGACGAAACGAGTATTACGGGGGTATCACACTGGGGAACGATGAAGCATTTGATACCTGGTTGCCGGCATACTCACATCGCATCCATGCTATTAAGCTGGCGACCTCACAATCCTGTGATTGACTCATTTGTTGGAAGCAACTGCCATCGAGTCAAGTCAGCGTGTCTTGATTTTTGTGAAGATTTCGATTTTTTTAGTCCAGTTTTGCTATTTGATTTCATGAAAACGATCCGGTTCTCATTCCAAGGCCTTCCCGGATTGGGTTTTCCTGTCACTGACCCAGTATCATACGTCTCTTCGCGAGACGATGTGCAGGGCGAGCAGACCCTCTCCCCATCAGGGATAGACGAGTAAGAAGGAAAAAGCAGGGATAAACAGCCCTGCTTCCCACCTGTGGGCCATAAGGTGTCAAGACAACCGTGGATTCCCCAATTTTCCTGGTTTTGTTTGCTTGCCAGCCCCGCGTACACCGCCGTCAAACACACACATATATGTGTGCAACAACAGCATAACCCGAACATCATCCCCACACCATCAACTCAGACACATAACAAAACGTCCAGCATCACCCTCTTTACGAGGACTCAGCGGCCTTTTGGGCGGCCTTGCCGCGGAGCTTGACCTCGTGGTCGGGCTTGACGGGGCGCTGCGAGCGGCGGATGGCAGAGGCACGGGAGACAGCGGCGGCGCGCAGGTCAGCACGGTAGCCGGACTTGGCGACCAAAGTGGCGACGGAGCGGTAGGTCCTGCACAGCACGTGGTCAGTACGCCGACCAACGCAGTAATGAAATTGCGTCACAGGTCCAAGGTCGGAAACAATCACAACAACTCACTTTCTTGCGGACTTGTTGGCACCCTGGTTGGAGGTGACCTGGCCAGAAGCAGGCTTGTTGGCGGCCTTGGTCTTGCTGATGACCTGGACACCACCCTCCTTATTGGCAACAATGCCGAGAGCCTTTTGGAAATGTTAGTTTCGACGTTCCATATCGCAATTTGATCCTGCGCTGAGGCGCAATGCGACAGTCGTAGTCGTTCTCTTCTCGCCAGTTTCCCTCCAAGTCGACAAATCGCATCGGCTTCGATCCTCGTCGCAAAATCGTTTGTCGCAAAATCGAAAGACCGACCGATCGCCCGATATGTCTGTCGTGGAGGGAACAGCAGCATAAGAAAAGAGGTCGAGTTTGCCAGGCCGCTTCTCCTTCTTCAATGTCTTATAACGTGACTCCGTTCTGCCCAAATCAAAATCGTACCTTGTCGTTGACGAAGCCGGCGTACTGTAAAATGACGTTAGATTCTGTATGCAATTGACCATACAAAAGTCCTCCTCAACCACGAATCATGCGGTTCTCCCCATCGTGCTGTGCTCGAAATCGTACCTTGCGGCTGTGGACGTTCGTCAGGTTCAGGGGGTCGCGCGAGAACTGGACCTTGGCGTTCTTGGTGCGCTTGACCAAGTACGAGTTCTGGGAGCCTGCAGATACAATAGAGTCAGATCGGTATTCGTTGTTGCGGTATTCCTTCCGTCCTTCGTTTTCGCTTCCATCGTAGTTCGGTCTTCTCTAGGTTCGGGGCACGGTGATGACGTACGGACAATCTCCCAGACAAGGTCGGCCGAAACGTTCGGGGTAGTCATTTTGAATGTGTGGTGATTTTTTGTTGATTTTCAAAAATTAAACAAATGGCGAGTCGTGATGATGTCGTAAACTGGGTTGACCTCCAAAGACGGAGCTTTTCGTCGACTCTCTCGAAATTTCGCTACTAATTTTTTTCCCTCTCAATTTTCCACATACAGGCCGCTGGGCCCCTCTCTCACAGCACACACCACCAATCCCGCTCCCTGTAGCGTAGCTCAGCCGTCCAATTTTTCACCATTGCACTCAAGTTTGTGGGTTCCGTTAGTTACCCACTTCAGGGCAAGTATTTTCTTTCATCCGGTATGCACGTACCAGCTACAAAAGACCCATTACATACATAGCGCACTTGAAATGCATGTATACGAGCTGATGTAACATTCAACGCGAGGCTGAATTAACGCGCCAAGGCGACACGCGTAAGCGGGGACCTTACTAAGGATCTCGCAACCTGAGGCACATTTGCAGCTACGTGCGCCCGTTAGTTGGGCCTGCGTCACCCATCTAACGGTGCTCCTGTCGATTAATTGTCTTATTGCCAAAGCAGATTACTCTGCAATACAACACAGCCACCGAGCCAACTCGTTGTCTCCTCTGTTCGAGTGAGATATCGAGAGTTTTCTCTTTATCATATCTCTCTACGGAGATTCTCATGGCCTAAGAAGACTCGGCTTCGGGGTCACAGCCGACGCTCCCCCTCTCCTTTTGCCAGTCTGTTTCAGCTCCAGTCCTCCGAGACATCCGACTTGAACGACCGTTTCCGCACAACAATCCAACGACGACAACGCTTCTGAAACGGCCGGTGTCGACTCCTTTCTACCTCATCGCCTAATAGCCATCGAATCCTTATCTTAAGCGTCCGCCATGGCTCTCTTCCTCTACGGCCTCGCGCTGCTTGTCATCGTCGCGGGCTCTATTTTATATTGGACCCGTCAGCGCTGGATCTCGCCCCTCGTCGCGACCGTCCAGTCGGCGACCGACCGCATCTCCGACCGCCTCTCCTCCATCCGATCGCCGTTCTCCTACACCCGGCTTCCCTCGACGTTTGTCGGCGACGCCGAAGCAGGCCTGTCCAGCAGCACATTTGACCTGGCCGGCAATATCGAGGGCAGCGACGGCCGTGCAGGTCTCGACGATGCTAGCAAGGCGGCGATTCTCAAGATTATGAAGAAGCGCCGGTTGCCGTTTGACGAGGCACGCCGCGTGTACATGGAGCAGCGGTTCAAGGACAACGGCATCGGCGCCGATGGCCTGCCGCGGGACCCCAAGTTTGTGAGCTTCTCGTAAACACAAACACCACCAGGACAAGCATTGGACGAGGCCAAACCAAGCGAGGCCTACGATGCAACGCCTTGTCGTCATACTGAGCAGTCGACTACGCAACCCAAACGGGAACTTGCCACTACCACTGAACCAAATATACTGAACAAAACCGACATTCGTTCAAATTTTCTTATTTTTATAAGTTTTTGCTTTTGTCGCCTTTATTTCTTATGTAGTCTTTCTTTTCTTGGTTTTATCTCTTGTCGTTTCTTATCTGTCTTACCTGCAAAGCAATCGTCTGCTGTTTAGCTTTCTTTTCATTTCATATGTCATACGATGGCGTTCTTGGGAGGGATTTAATCAACGGGTTTGCCGATGGGGTAAGAGTGTATATTATATGTGATTTCACATACCGTCAAACGGTGGAAGGCTCAGAGGTACAGACCAACAGGACGAGTGATCCTGATGTTCACCAAATATCAATTCCTGGGCAGAAGGTTCACAGACAGCCAATATGACGGAAGAAACACGTCTTGATTAGCACTTTCTAGGTTTTCCCCTTTTTTCCTAACTGATATTAAAATTCATGCGCTGAGCGATTGATATCATTTCTTCTACGACGAGCGCGACGTACACTTTGTGTGACCATTGGCCAATCTTCAATTTATATCTCCTTCATACCCGCATAGTTTAGAATTATGAGCTGAGTAGGAAAACATTCAAGTATCTCTTCGTTTGGTCATCGCATAGACATATAAATTTTGCAATGCTTTCATGGTATATGATTTCAGAGGAGATTCTCATAATTTAGTCTTTCCTTTCTTATTATTGCAGTGACAACTGCCAACAGCCCGAACGTCCAAATAAATAATAAAACGCCAACTTTCAATTATGGGTACAAAATGGTGGTGAAAAAGGAAATATGCAAGCGGATAGTTGGCAAACAGCTATGCCCTTAAGTGGGAAAAATGAGAGAGCGAGAAAGAAAAAAGAAAAAGTGAAGTGGGTGGAGAAATTAAAAACATATATGTACAAGACATTCTTGGGGGGGAGGCTTTATAAACATAGGCTTTTTCAGTCGTAAAATAACTCCGGTAGAGTCTCAAATATGTGCTCAAAATGCACCTTTTTCCAAATCCAAATGGAAAGTTGTGTCTAGACGGATGGCAATGTGCAATGGTAGATTAGGAAGTTTGAAAGGTTGGACAGGACAGAAGCAGAGAGGCGGCGGAGGTAATGGGCAACCATTGGGTGAGGAATAGACGTGAGATGTGTCTGCGCCACACCGGTATGGCTCTTCGTGTTCCAAATCCGTTTTTATTTACCGCTTCTTCTTGGATTCGGCAGGGTCTACCGGGTCGTAGACACGGTCGTCGGTGCCCTCGACATCCTTGACAATGGTCTCCATCTCCTTTACCTGCTTCTTCCAGGTGTCCTTGCTCATCTTGGTCTTCTTGTCAAACAACTCTTGCTCGGGCTCACGGTAGCTGCCGCCCAGGCGGTCCCAGAGGGTAAAGTACTGGCCGTAGTTGTAGTTGAAGGCCAGGTGGTGGATGCTGTGGCAGGCGGCGCCGTTGATGACCGGGTTATTGGAGACGTACTCGCCGTCGTGGATCATGATGGTCCAGAAGTTGATGAAGATGAAGAGGAACAGATAGGCCCACTTCTGCAACGGGAAGAACAACGGGTAGATGTGGTACGGCAAGCTCTGCATCCAGCCGTCAACGGGGTGGAAGGCGTACGAGGAGTACGGGGTTGGCATGATCCACTTGTGGTGCGGCTTGTGCAGGTGTTTGTAGACGAGCGGGTGGTGCAGGCCGCGGTGAATAAAGTAGACAAACATGTCGGTGAAGAACAAGAACAGAGGCACCTGCGCAATGTCGTACCAGCGGCCGGGGCCCTCGGAGCTGCGCTCGTACATGCGGCAGTAGCCGAGCACCTCGGCGAGGAAGAAGGGGGCCGTCAGCAACGACATGACGGGCATGGCTGTGTTGGCCTGCTTGATCTCCAGCCAGACCTGGTTCTTGAGGTATTTGGGGTGCTCCATGGTCTTCTTGTCGAAGATGAAGAAGTAAGAGAGGGACGAAAACATGAAGTAGGTCAGCAGACCAAAGAACCTGTGGGCAAAGCAAACGGAGCGTGAGCGAGCCAATTCACGTTGAGAGGAGGAGAGTACTGGGACAAGAGCAGCAAAAGACCGAAAGCACACTCACCATGTAATCAAGAAGAGGGAGAAGAATTGGCGGACGACATTGTCGCGCGGCACAGAGGTTTCGTATGCGTAGCGCGTCGGCTCCAGTGTGAAAAGGAAGCTGGACGGCTTATACTGCCACGAGTTGTAAGTCTGCGGCAGCGTGGCATTGGTGCCAAAGCCGGCGCCGTCGACCTTGTACGCGGCGGCGTGCGGCGGGAAGATGGCAGAGTAGCAGTAATCGAACACATATGTGTCCATCAATTCGAGCGCGATATCCATGGCGGCCGATGGGGGCGCTCAAGAGCGCGGCGAGAGGGCAGAAGGGCCGTCGGTTGTGTACAAGCGAGTTCGATGGTCGAATCACAAGAAGCGTCGCAGTCCAAACGTGAGAGCGGACTGAGTATACGAACCGCGCGAAGGCAATGGGGCGTGGAAAAAGGAGGTCGGCCCCTAAAGTCAGAGAGTGCACACTGTTGATCCGATATCAGGAGACGAGGATGCGCTTCAGGATCGAAGAAGCTATTGATCGTGGGAATTAGACGAGAAGTAAAAGAGACAACGGAGACAAGAGTCGGCGCCAAAAGGCGGAGAAGGGGAGAAACGGTAAGGAGTGTGGTGGTGTTTGCCGCGACGAGTTCCTCTTATGATGCTGAAAACACCGTGCGGGTGGCGGGCTCTGTAAATCTTCGCGCGGTTCCCAGCATGGCAAGAGCAGGAAAAAAGTTTTGGGTGAGCGACCTGCTCGTTTTCGTATTTTGAGGACCCTCTTTTCCCCTATCCCCTTCCTTTTTGGGTTATCAGATCCGAATGGCAGCGGTGTCTGCGTGCGCACTGTGCCCCCTCAGGGTCGCGGAAACGAATTGTTCGGAGTTAACCTGTGGTGAAAAGACCATGGAACAGAGAAATATCCGCGGCGGCAAAATGTAGTCCAACAACAGGATGCACTAACTTGGAGCAGGACCTTCCACAAAAGCAGCCAATTGCCAGCGGGCGCGATGGCAGGTGCGGCAATACGGCTTAGGTATGCGACCGAATTGCACTGCAACTTCACAGTGTGTCAAGTCGATTTGCACAGTGCAGTTCAATGAAGTAAGAAACCGCTATGAAGGCAAACACAGGATGCCGTTTGTAACAGCTACACCAGACCACTGTATCAAGGAACTGACGACATCAGACCAGAGGAGGACGAGTGAGAGGACACAAACCCGCGAGAGAAGATTTGTAGTGAAAGGAGCGAGGAGAAAGCCGGGACAGGAACGTATCACATAAACACACGGAGGACTTGCGCAAGGGCGGAAGCATCCGACTCTGACAGAGGGAAAATAAGTAATTACTTCGCTGATGAGGCGGCATGCTCGGCGTTGGACGACAGCGATGGAATGCTGGGCAGCCAGCTCCGATAAAATCAGATGACGGTCAGTGTTTCCTCCTGTTCTCTCTGGTTTCTCAGCTGTTTTTGCTCTGGATGGGACCGGTTCATGGCTTCAGGCTAGGTGTGTCTCCAGAGGGGATTCACTGAACTTTGTAAGTATTGCGCGTAGAACG